TGAAACATGTAGAGTCATAGAATGGATAGGGTTGGAAGGGGTCTTAAAAATCATCTAGTTCCAATCCTCAGGTGTACTTGTTGACTATTGAGTTCATAATACTGTTTATGTCCTTGATGAAATATATCAACCTCTTTTGATTAGGAATAGGAGGACAGAAACTAGTGGAAAACTGTTTGGTTGGAATACTTGAGCTAGTTTCTTTGTCATTAAACTGGAGATAGAACATCTTCTTTCCCCTGTCCAACCTGCAGTGGTAGCTGCCTTCCTGTTTTGATTATAAGCAACCCTACTAGCTCTAAGAGAACAGTCAGCTACAATCACCAGAAACATTAGCATACGTATAAGTGTTTCCAATCACTTAAATTCTTTTGCACAAAGTTTTATGACAATCATAATGCATATCACCATCTCAGAAATTACCTGAAAATGTTTAAGGATTAGTTGGATGAATAATTACTAAAGTTTAAAAAAAAATCTTTTATCAGATAACTTTTAAAAATTTGTCATGGAAGGTTCTATCAGATACAATGACAATGCAAATTTTAAGGCCCTTTAAATTACATTTTCCAATTTTTTCCCAAGCTGAAGTCTGTGATCTGTGTGGACAACTCAGTGTATATCTGGTGTATGTGTGTGCTCTGTGTATGTGCCTACTGGAAATATATCTTCATCTTTGTTAACGTATGGACTTGGAGGTGCGGAACAGCAGCAGCAGCCTCGTCTCCCTCAGGCTGTCAAACCCAGTGCCATATACCTTTCTCTAAAACACCTTCAATTAAGATTTGACACTTACAGTTAATACAGCCTTCTACTTCATTGTTTTCTTGCATCTGTTCTTAGAGCTTGAATCACTACAGCATTTGAGTATAGATTTAATCCAACATGGTTTGAAACTTGTTGCATTCTAATTGCTCTTCTGTTTAAAAGATTGACATACCTAAACTTTGGTTAAGGGAAAATGGGGTGCTTTCTATACACTACATTTGATAACAGTGATTTAACCCCTAATTTGGATAAACTGCTATGCCACTTCAGCTAGAGTAAGTAACTGTATTTTTGATAATTCACTGAAACAGATCGTCCTTCTTTTGCAGTGTAGGGACTGTATGCTCAGCTTTTTAGATTACCTAGCCCATGGAGATTTGAACAATCTCAAAATTTAAAAATAAAAATAAACTTATTCATGTCCTTTAGTACAATTTGCATTGAAACATAAGTGAAATTCTTTTTTAAGTGCTTCTCAGTGTAAAAGTTAAATACTCCAGTAGTGACCCCACTGAGAGCTGACAAGTCTAATGGAATATGGCACAGCAAACAATTTGTCAGCACAATTGGCAAATCATCAAGGACCAGTACAACAGATTCCTACTTCAATTGCATATCTGGGAGCCAAATTAAATTTGTGTTAAAATGCCCCTTATTAAAAAATTATCACAATTTTAATTAGTGAGAAAGATATGTGATATCTCTTGTTATAAAGAAACCTACAGATTTGAGATTAGGTTCTGAGAGTTTATGTAGATGAGTTAAATTCAACCTTTTATCTGCACAAAAAAAGATCATCAGAAGATGTCATCAGAAGGTATCCTCTTAGTTATTTTCAAGTATATCTTCTCATGGTGTCTCTAGATCAGAAGTAAGTATTGCTTGACACAACCATTGTAAACAAACAGCATCAGGGGCCTCATTCTGTCCTCTTCTCTGGCTGGTCAGGATGAAAGACTGCTAGTGACAGTGGACATGCCCATATCCATACATGCACTCAGAACAGAGAGCCTACTCCCAGGAACGAGTTAGAAAAGAATTTAATAAGAGCACAGGACAGGTGGTGTTCATGTGGCACAAACATAACCAGACAAACTTGTTACCCAGCAAACTATTTACATGTGTCTGGCCTTTTTATCACCTTCTATCTCTATCTCTCCACTTCTATCTCTATCTCTCCACTATCACCTAAACTCCTCACTTGTGTTCCCTATGGTTTCTGCCCTAAACATATCTAAACCCTTTGCTGTCCCAAATTTCTTTTCCTCAAATCTTATAATGTGCTCAACATACCTAGACAGCAACCCCCATAATTACACAGAAAGACGATATTCCCTCCTGAATCCTTATTTTGAGTTCCTCTCTGCTACTATACACACATGTGTCCCTCTGGGCTTGGACAGATGGACCTCTGAGGGTCTGATTGCCCTATGGTGTGCCTGGGTATGTCTGCCAGGGTATTATTTGGGCTAGTATTGTTCTTCTGGTGTCTCTCTGAGCTCTTCTGTGGGTGTGAAAATAAGGTTTATCTCATAACCCAACAGGACAACTTGCAGCAACACATTGTATTGGGGGTTTTTGCTTCTTAACCCAGCATTATAAGGCTGAATTGTACATTAAGTCCTCATGCTTTACAATAACGAATTCCAGTACTTGTCCAGGAGTGAATAGGAGAAGTATTATAATGCAAAATGTTACATTTTCAAGTGCATGATTCAGAGGCCCTCAGCAAGGACTGACTGGAAATATTTTCGAGCTAAAAGATTCCATCAGATATCATGAGATGCTAATTGTTTCAATCCAAAAAAATCCCCAAACTCAAACAACAGCAAAATAAAATCTTTTCAATAAACATATATTCTTATGTTTTAAATAAAACATATGATCAGACTATATTGCCTTGATCAGCAGTTGCAATAATAATAATTAAATGCAATAAATAATAATTAAAATACTTGAAGCAAGCATAATGTTTAATGGTTGGTTTTTTTTTTTCCAGAAATAAGGTATTGGTTTGACTAGTTTATGGAGATTTAAGGGAATTAGCCCTGTTGTAAAAATATGAAAAATTCTGCTTAAAAATCAAAGCACATCAGGGGAGCTGAGCAGTCAATTATGCTTCTTATCTTTAGGGAGAGTCAGAATAATGCTGATTTAGTTGACAAACAGAGGATTGTCCTGCTACCATTCCCATATTCTTTGTATGTTTGCAGAACACAGCCATCTGAAAACCGATAGGCTGACAAGTTTCCACAGTATTGCATTCTTCTCTGGGAAAAAAAAATAGAAAAAAAAAAAAAAAGGAAATTGTCTATGGGAAAAAGTCTTAAAATAAATTGGGGGAAAAAAAATTAAAAAACAAAAAAGTCCCTCAGGTCCCTCCTCCTAGCCTTACACATCTTAGTTACGGGGTTACTCAGTTATCTAGACACCAGGGTTGATTCCTCATGAAAGTAAGCGATATTTCATTGAAATATGAAAATTTATACAGTATTCAGAATACATACAGTAGATTCTATGAAATGTTGACACCTGTCAATACCAAATAGTGTACAAACTCTACAATACTGTAACAAATTATTTATTAAATTGATGTTTAAATGCCCGAAAATAATCAGGACAGGGTGAAGATAAATCTGACTTTCAAGAGCTTTTGCAATTCTATCAGGATTAAATCCACAGATGTTGAAATTAAATATGTTTTCTCTGCAAGCACCTGTTGTAAATATTTTAAATTAAAATGGCTTATTCTGGAAGAGAGAAGAATTTTTGGTTCTGGGGTTTTGTTTGTTTGTTTGTTTGTTTATCTTCAGCCATGGTCTTTTTTATCAATTTATAAAAAAATCCACCACTGGAATTGTCATAATTTGAGAAGGTACTCTACCAGCGAAAATCAAAGAAAAATAGGCAGAACAAACAGAATGAAGGCTGAGCAGGCCTTTGAAAGAGTTTTTATAAGGTACATGTTATTACAGGCAAAAATTACTGTTTACAAGAACTTTGGTGTTGTAGTAGGAAGGTAGAAAGATGCCACAGCCCATATGAAGTACCTGATTATGTTTCTATGTTGAACTTCCTTGGTCCCTTCTAAAAGAATTGATTTTTTTTAAAACAAAACTAAATATTTCATCAAATAAGTCATATCATATGAAAGTCATATCAAACGCGCTTGAAAAATTAATTTTTTTAATTTATGTTCTCTTTCAACTTTGTTTGAATATCATGTTGTTACTTTGTAGGCAGTTTCAGTTGTTCCTTTAGACCACAAAATACACTATATCTGAACAAAAACAAGGTTTAAGAATTTCACCCTTTCCTTAAATTATTTGAGGTAGCTTTTAAATTCAGTTGCATGCAAGTATCAAAATACAAACATTAAATATGCTGCATTACAGATAGGTAGCAGTCAACTCTGCAGGCCCCTGAACTTTGCTGATTTTCAGTGAAAGCTCTCACAAGTACAGAAAAATTAGAGATAGTGAACGGCAACAGAACACCTAACATAACAAGCAACATATAAAATATTTCTCTTAGGCAGCACTCAGAATCATCCTGTGTTCTACCATGCACATATACACACAAAATGGCTTTATTTGTGCTACTGATAAAGTTTAAAGCCCATAGCAGAGGTTTTGCATGCTTCTGCAATTACTGATTGTGCAACTTATGTAACATATCGTGGACTAACTACTCAAGTGCCCAGTCCTCAGAAATGAAAGCAGAGCTTTACATTATACGAAAATTCAGTCCCTTTGTCAATAACAGATTTGCTCACTTTCAGGGCATTAAGTATGGTTGTGAGTATTTGCAGGGTGCAGGGTTTAAGGATCCTTCCACATAAATTCGGAGTATTCAGTACAAAAAAATTCAAGGAAAGGTATTTTTAATAATTTCTAGAAAATTGGCAGTATGGAATTAAGTGCTTCTTTGAATCTTTCAGACATCAAAATTAATTCAGTACTTAATGCCAAATGCTTCCAGAATTAATTTACAGGCACAGGAAGAGGATTAGTAGCCTGGTTTTTATTTCAGTTATTAAGGCTGAGGATAACTGTACAGATCTGCTTGTTGCCTCTGGGCACATGCACTGTGAAAAAATTATTACTGAGGAACTTACTGCAACATTCCCACCAAGACCTTTAAAAATACCTTTTTGTGAATTTCAGGATTCTCAGTTTCAATGGCAGTCACCATAATATCAATTTGTAAAGACAACTCTCTTCTATTTTCAGATTCACGGCCTCTACCAGATGTAGCCCTAACAGGGAAGTGCACCCGAGAATGTGATGAATATGGCCACTCAGACTCCTGCTGGATGCCAGTCCGCACTTCTCCAGAGAGAAAGCAGAAGAGCCAGCCAAAACTGTCCACTTTCATGCCTGTCGATGAACGGGGCAGTCAGGAAAAGCTGGCCAATGGAGAAGCCTCCCTCATGGGTGATCGCAACAGAAACCTCCTTAACAAAAAGTTGACCTCATCCTATGAGACCTTCAGCGCAGCTAGTTTCAGCAAAAATGAAGAAGGCAATCCAGAGGATATCCCCCTTACACAGACAGGGGAATACAAGCCATCTCCTGTCAATACTCTAACTAGAAGAGAAGTTTACCTGTAGGCTAAAAAGCAGCAACAAAGTTCTTTCATAATATAAGAAAGAAATGGGGCAAAATTCTTAAAATCACAACAGTTTTAAGAAAAAAATGTGAAACAAAAGAAAGGGGGCCACCAAAGAGACAAAAGATCTGCCTGCCACTTCTGCCTCCATAGCAGGCATGTAATTATACTGTCTGCCTGACTATACTGTACAATGTAGAAAACGTTGTTACTTGCATGTCTAATTCCCCCTCGCTGATTTTTATTTTCCTAGATCTATGGTTGCAAATTACTCCCATAGTAGCAAGCTTGATTAAAAAGAACACAACACACTGTTGTTTCCCCTCTGCAGAAGCATGAATTAAGCCACTCATTTTGTTTGTTTGTCATCTGGCTTGTTGAGGATAACAGGTCAGGGAAAATGTATTCAAAACATACCATCTGAATATTGCTGATCCCCATCAGGGACAATCCTTCAGAAACCGTAAAGATATAGGATAAATATAAAGGAATAATCATTAATAGGCACTTTGTGAAGACCACAGCTTTAATATTCTCACCTCTCATCTGAGGCTGGAAGCAACAGAAATATATTCAGCCTGAGACTGCAGTCAAAACCACGGCATACTTTCCTGTGATTCATGAACTCTGGTTCTGTTTTATCCATAGAACAAATGTGTCTTGCTGTGTCTCTTTCTCTCTTTCTCTCTCATTGTCTGTAATGATTATTTCAATGTAAACACAATTACTAACACTTATACCATAGGATAGCAATGATAAACTGTTGAAATCATTATTTTGGGCAAGACTAACATTTAGCTGGAAAGATTGTAATAACAAAAAGGCCAAAGATCACACAATGGATCAGGGGAACTGTTAAGTATTGGGGCTTGACTTAGAAAATAAATGTATTCACAAAAAAACCACATGTACTCATAACACAACTTCAGTTAAATTCTACGCAGCAGCACAGTTCACAAGCCCAGATGACAAATTTTTTTTCCAGTGTGGTTCAGTTGAATGCCCAAAGGAACTGATACTTTTTTTTTTGTAATGACATGATATATTGCAGCACATGCTGCATATGATATGCTGCATATGCTAGTTCCAGGGAATTTTAAAGATCAAAATTAAAAAATAATAGTAGAAGAGAAGGCTGTGTTGGTGGGAATGCTTGATGGGAGGGAAAAAGGTGGACAATAGGATAATGCAGTAACAAGAGAACATTACAACTTGGATACAAAAGCTTCTATTCAGATCGCAAGGCATGGTTGCTAAGTCTGGTCATCCGTGTTGCAGCTTGTCAACTGCTTCAATTATGTCAAAGATGATGATAATGAAAGCTTTCTTGAAACCAAGTGCATTAAAACCAAGCGAAGTGCAATACTAAATGATATCAAGATGCAGAACATTTAGCATTAGTAAAAATGGTCTCATAAACAGTGGTATGATACCTAGGAGGTCAAGATGACTTAAAAGGAATCCAAGCTACTGTGATATGCAAGAGCTGTAACAACTATCATGGTGAGTGCTTCTTGGAAGGAAGAGGAAATGAAACAGGGTTTTGTGCAATAAAAGCAACAAAACATGCAGAACATCAACCAATTGCTCTGTAGTTGATGTAGTAATAATCACAGACCAAGCTCAGACATTCAGACAAAAGTGACAATCAAACAACACAGCAAGGACAGCTCAAGGACGGGGAAAGCGTTCAGATCCCTGGCTGTTGAATCTGGCGTGATGGCATGGCTAGATGGCTCTCTAGTAACTGTAGTCATAATGTAGCTTTGGGTAGTTTCTTGCTTTGAAGAATTGCATAGAAATAACCTTAAACAGCCTAAGGTAGAGGTTGGTAAATCCAAACAGCTCATCACATTTATCCTTTGAGTTCACTTCTCCATTTAGTGGGTTGTGCCATTACTGGCCTTTTCATTCTCCTCTCTAAAGTTTACTTCCTTCAAGTAACATTAGTTTGTGTATAGCAGTTATGATGAATGGGACATTTTAGAAAGAAAATATTAAAATCAAAGATTAATAATGATTGAACATTTTTATGTTTAATTATTTAAGTAATATGGAGAGATGCAAGCTAGTACTTTGTTATGAGACTGCGTATAGCAGTTACTGCTTTGTATAATCTGTAAGTACCTGTTTAAAAATGCTTCTAAAAATGCTTATGTAATGTAAACACATTTTTCTTGCACGTTTCAACAGAATACACAATTGCATAACACAAATGTTCAACCAAACTTCCTTTAATAAGATTTTATTTAATATTACACACAAGAAAATAAATTAGGTAGCTGGGTTCCATATATTCTTAGACACTTTTTCTACAAGGCTAATAATGCAGGTCATAGTAGACCTCCAGATTAAATGGATCAGCAGTCACTCACCAATTTTTGCACCACATAAGACAGTCATGAAAAAATTTTCTTGTGTGCATCTCCTTAGATCTAAAATGCGTGTGAAAGAATTTTTTAAAATTCTATCTACTGTAAGTATTCACAGTAATTCTTGTGGAACTAGCCACTATTAATATGCTGATTACTCTTCTGACCTGGCATGACATACAAATATATTTTGTGTTTGTATTTTTCCTCATTATTTGAAATAGGTTAAATCTGGTGCCACTCCATAAATAGAGTGCTTTTGTATAAAAAAAACAAACAAATAAAGCTATAAAAAATAATTAGGGTGAATGCAAAATATGCAACTGTGCCTTTTATACCTATTATTATGGTAAAGTGGTAGTTGGGTTTGGACACTGAGGGGTAAGGGGCTATTCCCAACTTTTTTGAACCTGTATATTTACCTGTGTTTATTTTCTGAGAAATTATAAATGATATATTTAAAAATAAGCCTTTTGCCAAACTCAGTTAATGGACCAGTCTTAAGAATTATTAACACAAGGCTGTGGTTTAAGTAGGTCTTGAGGATTTTTTTATTACTATTTGTGCGGGGTTTGGGGTTGTTTTAATTTGTTTTTAATTCTGCTGCCTGGAAAAGTATGATCAGTCTATATGATAGCTATTTAGCAAGGTGTCACCAGTTCATGTTACCAGGAAAATTGACAATTTTTTTCAATTGCTTTTAGCCTTCATAACATTTTAGTTGTACAGAATAGAAATCATCTTTTTCTTTCCTTCCATGGGAAACTCAGATGAGCTTTGCATGTATTTTACATTAGGACACCTTTATAGATTGATACGTTAATATATAACTTTATATGTATTAGAAAGTTCAATAGCTTTGGTCTAAAATCTAAGGCTTATTCCAGATCTCAGACCCACTATGTTTACTGAATATGGTTTCTGACTGGCCTGCTGCCTGAGTTTCAGGAAAAAAAAAGCTAAACATTATTTTTATGTGGGGAAAGAATTTAGATGGGATTGAAATGATTGGCTGAAAGGCTACCCTAGAAGTTGTCAAGCAGAAAAACAATGAATACGGATAACGATCTTGCCGTAAATCCAGCCATCACCAAACACTTGTAAGGAACTTGAACAACGAGATATTTTTCCTTCCGTTTCATTGGTGATAAATATACAGAGTTTCCTTAAGAAAAGAAGCAGCTGAAAAAGCAATAGAAATGAAAGCCCATCAGTTAAGTTGCATTACTGACTGAAAGAGCGTGAGCACTAGGAAGAAGGCAACATTCGCCAGCTACCTGGGGTATGCTTTCAGACAACTTTTCCTAAATTTTAAAGCACTTGCATTCAGTGTGGTACGATCTGTTTGTAATAATAATCATTGACTATTGTTCTGCAACTTGGATGTTGATAGTGAAGCAGAGAACAATTTATCATTGTTTATTATGAGTCACTATGCACGCAACTATGCTAAACATGGCAAAATGTATTAAACGCTAGTCCACCTCTATTTATGAAATATTTACATAATTTAATTTGCTTTTGTACAGTTTTATGTAAATAAATTGCTTGTCATTTTTGTCTCTGCAAATTAAAATATAACATGTTCAACTGGTTGCCCATTTGCCAGTTTACTTTCTTGGACAGTCTATTCCAATTTTACTAGATTAAATCACGTGCTAGTTTCAATATTTAATGCTATTTTGAATGGCAGAAATGACACTGCCTTAGTAACTGGCCACAGATTCAGCTGCAGAAGCAGCTGAGCTTTTACCTGTCTTCAGGGTGAAATTTGATAGAGGCAAGGCTATTGCCACCCAGGACAGCACACATCAATTTTCATAGCAGAAATAGAGTACTTGTAACTTGAACAGCTGTCTCTGATTACTGCTCAAAAGGCCTTATTTTGAAGATGTGTTCAAAACCTTTCTTGCTAAGTGGAATAACAAGTCTTTAGTAAAAGTCCATGTATTTCCATTATGGAATGACAACTTATTATCAGCAAGGCTGCTATTTTTTCCAAGAATCTTAGAACTATTAACAAATCCTAAAATGTCAGTGGAGCGTCTATACTGAGAAAAACAAAGCAATTAATGCAGAATTTCAGGGGGAAAAAAGAGAAATAAAAGCCTCCAGTTTTCTCTGGCTGTGAATCAAATTATCCATCTCAGCATAACTGCAGATCAAGAACAAATCATCCTCCATAACAAGAATCTAAGAAGAAAGAGTTTATTCCTTAGCTGTCTGGATTGCACATAGCTTTTTTTGTCTTTGTTTTGTTGCTTGTTTGTCTTAAGAGAGGAAGCTCCAAAACAGCCATTAAATTGGAAAATAAATAATACTTGAAAAATGTGTTTGTGGGGATAGGGATCGAAGGTCGAAACTGCTCTCACTCCCTGCCTCTGTGTTATGCAAAATACAGAATTACTATAGAGACCTTGCAAACCATTGAATACAATTTCCCACTAAACATCACAGAAAGTGCCATCTCTATCCTTTTACCTTAGTTACAGACTAGGCTTTGATTTTTCAGAATGAAAACTGGCCAGAACTTTTTTAAAATAAATTTTACCTTGCAAATTTCTTTATCTGAATGTGCTTTCAATTAGCATTTCCTAGTCTTCGGTAATTAATGTGTCAAAGAAGATTCTTCCTTCCACAAGCAGAGGTCTGAATCTACAAGCCAATGGAGAGTTTAGCTTGCCACCTGACCCTGGATCACTCACACTGCACTTGAATGAGCTACCCCTCCACCTTTTTCAGCAGTAGCAGTATTTTAATGAGTAACTTCAATCAAGCTTTCAAGTTTGTTTTATACTAGTTGTAGTATGCAAGGCATGACCTTATGTTTGTTTATTTTGTCTTCTATCTACATTTTCTTGTTTACTCACTGCATCCACGAAGGTGATTACAGGAAGATAAAATAAATTTCCTGAACCACTAAGAGTGGCAAGAGAGGATGATATAAACTAGCAAAAAGGAACAATTTATGCTCCCCTTTAACCCTGTCTTCATTCCTCCCCCCTGTGTTGCAGTAAATTGTAAATCTTATGCAGAGACTGAAATTAATAAATGTGACCTAGGCAGAAATAATTTCATGTCTTTATTGAGCCTCCTGAGGGGAGTGTATAGAAGATGCTTAATAGTTCATAAATATGCAAATCATCTAGCCTTTGCTAAAAAAGAAAGCAGTGCTAGCATTAGATGAGTGTATTCCTTAGTAAAATCATAGGATTCTAGTCTGGCAGTTCATACAGCTTTCTTCTAAAGCAAGTATATCTGGTTTAAAGACTGACATACAATTACCAAGAAACTGGGGGGTTGGGGGGTCAGGGGGCAGGAAATGCAAAATATCTGTTCTGTACTTGTTTGGGCAAAAAAAGCCTCTGGGGGAAAAAAAGGAACAAAGAACAGCAAATAGGTATAATGCAATTGGTACAGGATTGATAGAAATATATATGTCTTTAGAACTTTCAAACTAATTTCAGGATTCAAAAATAAGGACACATTAATGCATAATTTGTATGTATCTACGTTATGGTACTGTAATTTATAAGAAAGGGTTCTTTCTAATTATAAGGTATGTGATTCTATTTAAGGTGATGTCTCTAAATATTTAGGTAATGGTTAAAAAATGTTTATATCTTAGTATTCCTTTTTTGTAAGCTTACAAAAGCAAATTTCAGCTGGCTTCTATAGCATTCAATGTAGAAGACAGTTTTGGAACAACCAAATAGGCAAGATATAGTTTTCATATTTCTATTCTATTTCAAGATAACAACCAACTTTTTCATGTGCGTTATAATAACAAATGAAAAAAAAACCCAACACTTTTCAACTGTGCTTTCAAGGATAATACTGAGGGAACAGAGAAGCCAAAGAAGTATAAAAGCAGGTTTATACCATGTTTACTACTCCTTTGGTAAGTTCATACTCAGCAAACCAGTGTCATGAAGAGAGCAGCTTAAATAACAATGAACCACTTAAGTTTCTCCCAATCCTATTGGCAGTCAGGGAAGGATGGATAGACTAGAATGAAAGGAAAAGAAAAGATGCTGTGTCTTTTTACTATCTACCTCTCAAGGATTTCAAGCATCTAGAGAATTCCCAAAATAGCAATACTGGATTCTACCATTTCACCACAAAATTGTACATTTTTACTTCTTCCAAAGGTACTTTCAGGTTTTATAACTTATAGTAAGTCTAGGTGAGGAAAATCATCTTCCTAACTCTTTTTCCTCTTACATAGTAGCTGTGTTACATGATTCCAGAAAATGAAGCTGATTCTAACTGTGGTAAGATTTGTTTAAAGTTAGCTGAATATGTATTTGATAAGACAAATAGAAGTGAAGAAATCAGAATATGATATTAGTCTGAAAAAGATCCACAAACTACTGCATGTGCTGAAATGGTTAATTATTTAGGCCTGATCAAAAGAGAAGTGGCAGAAAAATTCAGAAGCAAAAGTGGAAGAAGGATAAAAATAAGTTACAGATGGACAACTTAGGTAAGTGTGTGTTTGTATGTATTTATATGCACAGCTCTTGTTTTTGAAATAGATTTTAGGATTCCAGAAAATTCTTTGTCATTATCTGATGAGTCCAATCCAGAATACTGGACAATAAAGACCTTCAGTAGGAGGTCCTGTATTTATTCTAACTAAGGTTTAGTAAGACAGAACAAATTACATAAATTAACCTCTACTGCTTAGTGTGGTAGTGTATGGTGACCACAGAGTTAGACTACTGGATAATTATTGAACCTGCTTCCACTTCTCTCTAGTTTCCTGTCTCACATAAGCTGCTAGAACAAAAGTCAAAGCATTTTTTTTACTCTTCATCTCCTCTTGCTGGAATCATCTTGGCACCTACTTAACTTTTCTCCACCTTGTACTGAACTAGAAGAGAGGTGATTTCATATTCTTTTTCAGTCTGACCTCTGAGCATCTGGCAGGTATCATGCTGCCACCTTTATCTTTAGGAGCATAAAATTATGGTCGACTCAGTCACACATAACTTCAAGTTCGAATATTAAAAGGTGGTAGAGCAAGAAATATGCCTTGAATTTAGAATATTCTGGTGTTATGCTGATAAAAAAAAAAATAAAAAAAAAAATAATTCAGAATTCCAGATAGTATTGGAAAGCTGGTCTGTGTGATAAAGAACCAACCACATGGTAGGTACAACCCTACAATAACAAGCTGTACATTTCTTCTTAATCTAATCTGTGCCTTATGTAGAGATGCAAGGAAAATGCACGAATGTTCTAGGTCCCTCTGAAGTATAGGGCTTTATACATGCAAGAAAGAAGGAATCATCTTTTGCCTAAGCCTAGTAAGTTAAGCCTGTTTCAAATCAGTTTGGATCCCCTGATGAATACTCTGATTATACTTATGCGTCATCAGTAAAATGATGATGGGTAATTAATTATACATTTAGTGTGACATGCTCATTTAGGAGGGCATAGAATTAATAGAGAGGATATGATGTAAAATTGCTGGCTGGAGAACAAGGTTTTTGTACTGTAACTTCTATAAGGTGCTATAATATATTGGCTACAAATATTATTAAATATCAATATAAAATTTAAACATAACTTTTCAGTCCAAAGAAAATTGAGCTAATCAAAATGAGATTTTAGAAAGAATTAAGGGTGAGAATTTGGCTTGTCTTGGACTGGGGTCACATCTGAAAGCTACAGAATATTGTTTTCTACACTGAGTGACTGCAGATAAAATAAATTTAGTAACACTTAGAAAAAATACATCTTGTCCTTCCTTAGCAGTGATGGGATTCCAGAAGTTTACTCTCCAGTGTCACTCAAAAAAGAAAACAACAAAGCAAAACAGAATGAAGGGTTAGAATTAAGGAAGGGTTGTCAAACAGAATGAATTCTTCTGCTTAAATAAAGATGCAGGTGCATCATTAAGATTTTTCATAGTTCTGAACTTTCCCCTCTAAATAAATAAAAATATAAATACTAGAAGATATACTGATCAGGGTGATCAAAATCATACAATAAATGAGGTAGGATTCTTCAGCCTGGAGAACTGAAAGGTTTGACAGTGATATATATGAAGCCATGAAACTATTAGTTTTGCTTAATAAATCAGCTGAGTCATCATAAGAAATCATGATGCACTGGATTCAAGATATATGGAAGTGTTTCCTCACACTGAATGAAGCAAAGTTTTTTGTTGGAGATCAGTTTCTGGGATGCACCCATGAATTTGACTCACATAAATAATAATAAAATAAATCCCACAATATTTCTAGTTTCATTTTTTTTATGAAGGATGTGAGAATAACAATATCAAGTTGCTGCTTCCTTCCAATCTATTATCAAAATAAATATACTAGCCACTACTGAAAACCATATTGCCTTGAAATTCCCTTCTCTCTCTAAAAAACTCTCAACCAAACACACACTGAAACAAAATTAACAAAAAGCTCAGCTCTTAACAATTCTGTTATCTAAGTAAAAAGCTTTTCTTGAGGAAATGCTTTCTGATAGTCAATGCATTTGATGTTCTTTCTCCAAAAGAGTGATGAAAAATAATACTTACATAACCACAATTACTCCTTGGAAATCTACTGCTGCAAGTCTTCTACTGAGA